AACTTGAAAAATCTAGAACCACCATGCTGTGAGTGACTCTTGTCTTAGACACACTGGCTATAGTCTTGTGTAGTATGGACCTGGGTGAGAAATTGTGCTTAGCAAAACCTCCAGCATGGAGGGTGAGGTTTTTTCTTGGCTGAGGTGACAGGAGGCACTGGAACCTGCCCCTGTGCCAGGCTGGCTTTCTGGAGTTTGCAAGTATTTCTGGGCGTCCTGTCAGCTTGGGGCAGAGTAGAGCCCCACAGAGGCTCCTGTGGCATTACACAGCTTCTGTAAAAGTCAGTTCCTTAAGCAGAATCTACTCAAGGGCAGAAACAAACCTTGTTTTCACCCTTTGAGTGAACTGCTAAATTATGTCAGTGCCATCCACTGCTACTGAACCCTTTACTGCCTGAGTGGTTATGACAGCAGCGGTTTTGTTTGTGCTCCTTATTTTGTGGTTTTTTTTTTTTTTTTTGCTAAACAGCCTGATGACCAGTCTGCATCTTAAATGGCTCCCTCCTCAGGCTGGGAAGCTCTCTACTCTTGTCTTCTATTTTGCCAAATAATTATCTGTTTCAGTCTCTTTGGCTGGAGCCTGCTCACCTTGTTTAAAAGGGGTGAATAAATCTTGCTGCCGCTCTCAAGTGAGGCTGATGTGCTGACCCATGGGGCTACTGAGTTCTTGCTCAACCAGAGGTTTATCATGTGGTACCTCTTGCTGGGAGTTTTTGACTAGACACGTGGCAAGAGGATGAATCCACACCTTATGGCAGTGTGGAGCACGTGCATTACCATACTAAATACTAAATATTGGATTAATCCTCGCTAATAAGCATGGGGTGCTTTTCTGTGATTATTTAAAGATAAATCATGAGTGTGGAACCTCTCTACAATGTTCTGCCTCTCAAAAACAGCTATTTGGCAGGTGAAGGAAAGCATCTGGCATACACTGATGCTGCATTTTTGACTTACCCCCGTGTCCAGTGTAGTTATAAATTTCAACCTGGAGCAGCCCCGGCTGCCTAATTCCTGTTTCGCTTGTGGAGCCTCTCGTAGTTCAAGGGCCTGATCCCACAGAAAAGCCAGAAACACTCCAGCCTGTTCCCTGCGTGGATCAGCTTTGTTAGAAGTAGCTTATTCTGCAGCCTGTGGTTGTGGGATCCAATGGAGACAGCCAAATCTGATCAAGCATAATGACAAACTGCACCATAACGACTTTGGAAGTGATATGTGCAGTTGGGTAATCTTCTCTGCCACTGTCAGAAACTCCCCTCAACAAATCTGCCCACCTTGCATCACACCAGGCTTTGTTGCTTGGAGGGGGAAGCGTTTGCACATTCAAAGATTACCTGAAAATTACTGCTCTGCTCTATTCTGCTTGCCTTCTGCTGTTGTTGGTTTGAGACACAGAATTACAGAATTGTTGGAGTTGGAAGAGACCTTCTAGAGATCATTCAGTCCAACTCTTCTGCCAAAGCAGGGTTGCCCAGAGCACATTACTCGGGACTGCATCCAGGTGGGTCTTGAAGATCTCCAGAGAAGGGGACTCTGCAATGTCCCTGGGCAGCCTGTTCCAGGGCTCTGCCACCCTTAAAGTAAAGAAGTTCCTCCTCGTGTTTAGATGGAGCTTCTTATATTCAAGTTTGTGCCCATTTCCTCTTGTTCTATCCCTGGGCACCACTGAAAAAAAACCTGCCCCATCTTCTTGACACCCCCCTTTAAGTATTTATAAGCATTGATCAGATCACCCCTCAGCCTTTTCATTTGCAGACTAAAAAGACCCCAGTCCCTCAGCCTCTCCTTGTAAGGGAGATGCTCCAGGCCCCTCATCATCTTTGTAGCCCTCTGCTGTCCCCTCTCCAGCAGTTCCCTGTCCTTCTGGAACTGGGGAGCCCAGAATGGGACACAGTGCTCCAGATGGGGCCTCACCAGGGCAGAGCAGAGGGGCAGGATGAGCATTCTTGACCTGCTGGTCATGCTCTTCCAGATACATCCCAGGATGCCATTGGCCTTGGCCACAAGGGCATATTGTCAGCTCATGGTCATCCTGTTGTCCACCAGGATTCATAGGTCTTTCTCCTCAGAGCTGCTCTCCAGCAAGTCAGCCCTCAACCTGCCCTGGTGCAGGGGGTTATTTCTCCCCAGGTGCAGCACTCTACGCATGCATTTATTGAATTTCATCCAGTTCCTCTCTGCCCAGCTCTCCAAAAGCTCTGAATGCTAAGAATCTACAAAATCTAATGAAAAAAAAACCCAACAACAAACCAAACCAAACCAGCTTTATGCCTGCAGGGAGGATGCGTTGGGGCGCTGCCACCTCCGCGCCGCCAGGGGGCGCCAGAGCCCCCGGGGGAGAGAGGGGGGCGGGCCCCGGGGGCGCTCCTCCCCGCAGCGGCGGGGCAGGGCCCGGGGCCCAGCGCTAAAAGGCGGCGGTGGGGCGGGGAGACCGGTGTCTCCCGGGGGTGG